TGGTTCCGAAGATGGAGATATTTATGAAACTGTCCGGAGTCGAAGAAATGAAGTTGATCCGGAACATGTCTGGAGCTGGAGGAAAGGAGAGAAGAAGACTCATTCCGAAGTGACTCTCACGTCCGGAGTGCTCACTAATCCGAATGATGCTATTTTGTCTTTTATCATTTATTATTGATGTAACCTCTCATAGGACTTAGCTTTTTGTGTCCATTGACAATCAGAATGTCAGAAATAGTTGTTTTGTCTAGTCCTATGTAAATTACTTGGTTAAGTCGATGTAATACTCACTCTTATATATAGGAGCATTCAATTCAAGTAAATGACAGATCTTTTCTCTCACTTTTGGCATTTTATCTTTATTACATCAAAACATTCTACTTGTTCATTTATTGACTTCTCTTTGATCATTATCAACTTTTTCATGCTTAATGTCTTGATCATCTGTTGAATTAATTATCTAAGACTTGACTGGTCTTTCCAGTCTTGACTTGTACATCTATTTGTAAGCAAACATTGATCTCAAGCATTCACTCAATCCACACTTCTAACATCTCTGATTCTCTCTTCTTCCACTCCCCAATCTCCTTGGTGGCGCTCTTTGCATTTCCATTTCCAACCTCAAACCACCGCTAAATGCAACCCAACAATTCAATCAATCAAATCGACAATCACATCAATGATGATGGTGATCAGAACTCATTTCCAAGCCACCATCATCAGATCATCACCCATTCAAGAAAGTGAAAACACTCTCAATCTCAGGTAATAACACCAATCGATTCATTAACACAAGTAAACCCTCTTTCCGAATCATCAGTTTTAGGGCTTGTTCTCCTTGCTCATACGTTCTCATATAATATTCAAAACCTTACTGAGTCTCTCCTTCTCGAAATCCTCGCAAGATTTCCCCTAAAATCAATTTTTAGATTCAAATGTGTTTGCAAACACTGGCTAGACCTAATTTCTCTGCCATTATTTTCCTATTTCTATTACTTGCGTATGCTCACAGCCAGCGCATCGTCATCATCCTTACCTTTCAGAATTTTGTATAGGTACATTGATGTGTCGAAGTTCACAGACGTTCTTGATTGATTCCGTCTCGAGACTTACAATTCCTCAAAATTCTCGGTCCTTTGCTCTTTCAAAAAAAATAAGCAGGTATTTTTCTATGTTCTTATGGTCTCTTTACTTTCTTCTTGTATTGATAATATTAGATCATTCCCTTTTCCCGATTATTCACTAGCTCCGTCGACCTCCTCCCTAATTCCATCGACACCTCCCTCTGCCTCTACCTCCGCCTCCAACGCCCACCCCTACCTGTATCAACAACCAACACAGTCTAGGATTCGTTGTTGTCAATCATCTCGACTTTATTGAAGGTGCGATCTCTTATCCTTCATACATACGTCTGTAGAAGACCACTCTACATCGACCTACCATTCTTTTCACTGAAGATCCTCCAGCCTCCTTTTCATCTCTGTCAACCATCGATAATTCATCATTAATCGAAAAAAATCGATTAATCTCATGGATCGCAAATACACGCCTAGCTGGGAATCCATTTCTACAAAATCAGTTCTTCAAAATCAATTGTCGATAGAGCTTTGGTATCGATTTTCTAGTCATGATATCAAGAAGTTAGGGCTTAAATCATTGAAGGTAATCTAAAATTGATTAATCTGTGGATTTTTCTATCATTTATCGAGTCAACCAGTCACATACCCTACGATCTATTTTTTTTCTTTTTTACTTCTTCCTCTTACAGGTTTCTTATTTTTGCTTACTTGCCATATGATTCAGCTTATAGAGTTACAATTTCTATAATGCTTATTGTAATGTAATGTGTTTATGTGTTTGATTCATGCAGTCAACACATATGGATCCTCAGTAGATAATTAAAGAAGTCATATACCTCTGCACAGGCAATCCATTACCCAAAGACATTGAACAAATATCTTACTAGCTTCTAAAATGAATCATTTTCATTTACCTTTCAATGTATCCATCATATTTTATTTTCATTTCAAGGCTTCAGTTTTATTTTCTTCTTTCTGTTCTTATTGGTGGCTTAATTTTTTTACAAAAATATCTGATATCAAGGCAACAAAAGGATTGGCTTTAGTGGACATTGTAAGAGAAGTAACCATGCAAGTGTTGTAATATCTGGTTAAAAAGCTACATCTTGGTGATATCTTCACACTTCACACCATTGCTTGATTTTACTTCAAATTCTAATGTCAACTCCCAATTGAATCCACTAAATGCACATAACCTGTTTGATAAATTGCCTCTGAATGATTGAACTTCCTTCATTGTTTATATCAAAAAACCATTCTATCTGTTTTTCAAATTGAAATTCTATAATTGTTTCTGTATTTGATAATTCTAACTAATGCACATTCCCTCACCATGAATATACAACATTACTTTGTTACATTTTGTGTTTTTATAAAATAGAGTATGAATCATATGTGATTCACATTTGATTCACATGTAAATCATGTTTTATTCACATGTAAATCACATGTGACTCACATGTAAATCACATGTGAATAATGTGAATCACATGTGAATCATATGTAAATCACATTTGATTCACATGTAAATCACACATGATTCATATGTAAATGACATGTTATTCACATGTAAATGACATGTGATTCACATATGAATCACCGATTCATGTGATTCATATGAAAATCAAATGTAATTCTCATATTATGTCATATATAAATGTGCTTCATATGTGAATAGCATGTGATTCATTTGTTAATCACATTTGATTTAAATGCAAATCACATGTGATTCATATGTGATTAATGTGAATCACATGTAAATCACACATGATTCACATATGAATCACTGATTCATGTGATTCGTATGAAAATATAATGTAATTCACATATGATGTCATATGTAAATGTGATTCATATGTGAATCACATGTGATTCATTTGTTAATCACATGTAAATCACATATGTATTTTATGAGTGTTTTTACATTAATTATTATTATTATTATTATTATTATTATTATTATTATTATTATTATTATTACTATTTAATTTTCTAGTAGATTTGGAAGAAATTGTGGTGACTATTGAAGAGGTGAAAAATGATAAATTAAAAAAAGGTATGAAAATATTGACACGAAGATATGAAAATGCTTTGAAATTTTGTAGCATTTTTTTGTTTTTTTTTTTATATTTTATTTTGTATCGAAGAAAACACTTATTTTATTGTGTTTATAGATTAGTAAATAAAATGAGTTTTCTTATGATTTCCTTACAAATATTATAGTATATGAATTATGCATATATGCATTTATAAAAATATGTATATATGTACCTAAAATGTTGATTTTTTTGGTTAAAAAATTATAGTATTTTTTAAATATTCTAGTTTTTTTTTTAATTTTTTTTATTTTTAAATGCTTTTAAAAATTGCAGTTTTTTTTTTAAAAAATATATTAAATTTTTTTTTTCAAAAATTCATTTTTTCAGAAAAAAATAAAAAGTTTGCAGTTTTTAAAAATTTTCAAAAATTCATGTTTTCAGGAAAAAAAAAGTTTGCAGTTTTTAAAAAATTTCAAAAATACTGCTTTTAAAAAAATCTGAAAATTTGATTTATTATGTAAAATTTTAGACATTTCTATTAATATTACTAATAACACAAAAAATTAAACATTAATTGAAATTGATAAGATTAAAATCATGTCCTTAATGAATTAGTTTTGATTTAACGCTCCACTTTTAGTTCTCGGGTTTTCGAGAAACTATGAGTTTTCAATCGATGTCAACTCTCTCTCTCTCTCTCTCTCTCTCTCTATATATATATATATATATATATATATATATATATATATATATATATATATATATATATATATATGAACAACTAGTTGAAATTTTCGAAACACTTCATCTTTTTTTAACATACTACTTATTTATATATGAATAACAAATGAAGTTTAACAAAAATCTTATAAATGTTTTATTAATATATGAATATAATATACGACAATAACTAACACACATTTGATTCATATATAAATATAACATGTGACGAAAGATGATATAAAAATATATTTTAGGTAAGAAAACTTTATAACGTGTTATATTCATATATAAACGATACTTAAACTGTAACAAAGTTAAGCATACATTTTATTCATAAGTGAAAAACGAATTTACTGTAATAAACATTGATGCGTTTTTATTCACTTATGAATAACGATAGCTGAAACTCTAAAAAAAAATTATTTTATCTCAAAATTATATCAACATGGATGTCTATTTATAAAGAATAAAAATTATGAATTTTGATATAATTAAAATAAATTTTCGATAAAAATAACATTATAAAAGTAAAAAAAAAAAAAAACATGTTTTTGAATATATTAATGTAATGATTAGCATACTTTAATAAACCATGTTTGGTATATTCGTTACCCAATCCGCTAGTACGTCTAAGTTTTTTGTGGTAAAATAAATATGTGGTTGAAAATTATTTTTTATTCTGAATATTTTTTTTTCTCAATTGAACCTCTTCTATATATATATATATATATATATATATATATATATATATATATATATATATATATATATATATATATATATATATATATATATATATATATATGTGTGTGTATATGTCGTGAGTTTTCTCAATTTTCCAAATATAAAAAACAAAAAGAAAAAGGTGACAGAGGACCTCTTAATTATTGCCAAATGTCACCAAGCTTGTTTCCGAGAAGACTCTCCCTTCATTAAAACCTTTTCTCCACCTCTCTCACTGCTAATAACAAACCTACAAACAAACAAACATCAAACCGAAACTTAATTTTCCAATTCCTTAAACAACTCATTCCACTCTTAGATACCCACAAAAATCACTTCTTCAACTATTGATTACCATCAAAGATTTCAGTTTTTGAATCGAAAACTGAAAGGAGGAATCAGAGCCCTCAAGTAGGGTGAAGTTTCCTCTTGAAAAATGCTTAGTATCTTCAACAAAAACCTCCGGCGACTCTGCTCAAAGTTCCGGTGGCCGGTGCGCCGCCGTTCAAAACCGAAAGTCATTATCAAAAGGTTCGGGAAATCGAATTCCAGAACTCAAGATATATCAAACACAAATGGGTCAGCCACAATTCATCCAAATAATCATTTGGGGAAATCAGAAACCCCAATCCGAATCGCAACTTTTAATGCCGCTTTGTTCTCCATGGCACCAGCAGTTCCAGAGTTGACTGAAAAAGCTTCAAGCTTTGACTATGGCGAAGACGAACAAGATTACAGTAGTAAGGTACCATCAAATTGCTCTGTTTCTTACACCAATTCAAGATCAAAATCAATGATTGATCGTCCCAAAAGTATATTAAAGCAATCACCATTGCATTCAAGCAGCTCCATGAGCAGTTCAGAAACTGTATCAAAACAGCAGAAATTCGCAAAATCAAAGCTAAGAGTTTCAATCAATTTACCCGACAACGAGATCTCACTGAAGCGAAGTGGGCAGTTAAGCTTCGCCATAGACGAAACGGAAGAAGGCCCGAGTTCAAAAACTGGTAATTCGAAGGGTATAAGTAGGATTTTGAAAGGGAAAGGTGTTTTAAGATCACAAAACAGTTTTTCTTCAAAAGAATCTGAAAATCAAAGAGGGAAAGGTTATAGGTCAACGAAAACTGTTCTTGAAGTTTTGAAAGAATTGGATGCAGATATATTAGCTTTACAGGATGTTAAAGCAGAAGAAGAGAAAGATATGAAACCATTATCGGATTTGGCTGCTGCTTTGGGCATGAATTATGTTTTTGCCGAGAGTTGGGCACCGGAATACGGCAACGCGGTTTTATCAAAATGGCCGATTAAACGATCCAAAGTTCAAAAGATTTTTGATGATTCCGATTTCAGGTTCAAAATTACTTTTATACCCTTATTTTATAAATATTTCTTTCTTATGGACATTAGTTATATAATTATCACAACTTAATATCGTATTATCACTCTCGACACATTAATGCAAAGTTGCAAACATCCATCAAACGAAAGAAAGATTCTTGTGTGATTATTACTTGTTTTCTTGTTTGCATTAATTTTGTTTTAACTAAATGATCTTGTGGATTTCTATAATTACTTGTCTTTAAAATAAAAACGACGATATAAATACTTTTGGGTTCAATCATGTCTTCAATTGATGGGGCCATTACTTAATGTAACCTTTTTTCCAAGAAGCAAAGGGGATTAGAATTCCGTAAGGAAAAGGGCATATAGTACAAAAGAACAGTAAATGTGAAAAGCTATAAATGGACCAAATAGTACTTCAAGATATAGCAAAAGATATTAAAAGGGATATTTTCGACCTATTTTACGTGAAAATAGATAGATCTGTATACGATTAGAAAAAAATTCGTTAGAAAGAAATATATTGAATGGTCTAGAAGCTATAAAAGTATATTAAAGCGTTTTTAACTTTCTAAATTATTTTATTCAAAAGAAATGTATCATTCTTTTAATAATTATATTCGTAGCCATGTTTAATGTATTATTTATTCATGAAAGTTAATAAATAAAAAAATGTAGACATTTCGAATATTCAAATCCAAATCAACCCATTTTTGTCCATACCATTTTGTCTGTCTGCACTCTTTTCAATTTATTTTGGCTCAATCAAAATTGAAGTTTTCAAATATCAATTTCATTTACTTAAATATGAAAACTGAGATTGGAGAGGGTTCTTACTTCTTAACATATGGAATGGGGGTGGGGTTACAAATATTAGACACCAATCTTTATTTCTACTGAAAAATTCATAAAATCCAGATAACAAGTTGAAGATTAGTGCTGTTTGGTATATCATGTTTGGGAACAGCTGTATGCTATTAAAAAGTTCAACAACTACTAAAAGTAATCTTAAAGGTTATTTTGTGCGATGTGATTGCAAATTTTCACCTCTTGATTGCTACTAAAAGCCCATACTTGAATTATAATTTGTACACATCAAGGGTTCCAATCCTTTTCCATTTATGTATACATGTCATTAAATTTTCTGCAAATAATTATTATATGGTGATTTTGCATTAGGTGGTCCATATTTTTCTTTGTGTGGTTGGATGGTGGATAGATAAATGAAAGAAACATAATAAGTTAACGGTTGTTGAAACGGATGTAGGAACGTATTAAAGGCAACAATTGATGTTCCACAAACTGGAGAAGTTGATTTCCACTGTACACTTCTTGATCATCTTGACGAAAAGTGGCGTATGAAGCAGATAAATGCCATTATCGAATCTAATGAAAGACCACATATTTTAGCCGGAGGTATCAACTCTCTTGATGAAACTGATTACTCGCCCGAAAGATGGACAGACATTGTAAAGGTACATAAATAAATAAATAAAAATCCAATCTTTCTATTCTAAATATCACGAAACCACATGAATATTGTTATGAGTCTCACACTAGCTACACAGTGTCGAGAGAAAATCAATTAAGGCTTAACATTCTAACTTGTGTGTTTTTTTTTCCAGTATTATGAAGAAATGGGAAAACCGACACCAAAAGTTGAAGTGATGAAGTACTTGAAGAACAAAGAATACACCGACGCTAAGGATTTTGCGGGAGAATATGAATCGGTAGTCATCATCGCGAAAGGCCAAAGTACAAATCCTTAACTATCATAACACAACTTTTTGGTCAAAAATGTGCAATATTTATTGCAAATAGTGATTCATCATACGTAACTTTTAATACCAAAAGGACTATTCCAATTATATTTATTTTTTTCTAACTTGTATCGGTTTTCAAAATCACCCCTTATATTTTTTCACTTTCTACAAATTTCTCTTACATCTTTTTTGTTACAAAAACTTTATAAATAATGTATCAATTGTGTATTGCAATAAATACGTCAATTTTGTGTTTTTATTAATTGAATATGTTATTTATGTTTTAATTTATTAGAAAGTATTTATTTTTTTAATATGTCAATTTGTTTCTTTTTAGAAATTAATTTGAAAGTTTGTAACCTTTTTTGAATGATTTAATGCAGATGTACAAGGCACGTGTAAGTATGGTACACGGGTAGATTACATATTGGTGTCACCCGACTCTCCATATAAATTTGTTCCGGGTTCATATATGGTTTTATCATCAAAAGGTACCTCTGACCATCATATAGTCAAAGTCGATGTAACAAAGGTAGAGGTGCCACCTCCACAACAGTACGTTAGATCAAGGCATCATCGACCTTCTAAACAAAAAGTTGTGAGAATAACAAATTCTAATTCATCAAAAGGTGTATGGAAGATGCAAACGTTAGATAGATCATAGATAAATAGATTAATTAATATTGAGATAGTTACCATATTATATACATATATTTGTTCTTTTTTTTTTTTTGTTTGAGTTGAAATACGCTTTGGTAGGTGATTTACACTTTACAGGAGAGGAACTTGTCCATGTAAAAATTTGATGTATTTGTGTAGTTTGATTACGTATTGTGAACTGTGAGCGACTTTTGATATATTATATGATATGATAAAAGATTTATTCTCAAGTCAATGTAATGTAAAATATCAAAAACTTGTAACGAGTGACATTTGTGTCAGTAGCCATTAATGGCAGCTTGTATCTGTTCCAAAGTTTTCCCTTTTGTTTCGGGTACCGTTTTCATCACAAACAGAATAGAACATACGTTTACAGCTGCATACAGAAGAAAGGTGCCTGAAAAAATAAAAAACAATGTTGTAGATGACATGACATGACAGAACAGACAGTTAGACAGACAGTGTCGATGCTTACCGTAAGAACTCCACTTGGAGAGAAAATTGAAAGTGTAGGAAACGGCCCATGCACCAGCCCAGTTTACAAGAGTGACCAGGCCACCAGCAGCGCCTTTGATGTCAATAGAGAATATCTAGATATATACACCATATTTATTCGATTAATTAACGGATAAGAATTTTAAAAAGTGATTATTGTGATGATTAATATACCTCGGACATTATAACCCATGGAACTGCTCCCATTCCTATTGAAAACCCTGCTATATACAACTGAGTTGGAAAAAAATAAAGATTTTAGAACAAAAATATATAAATGTTTGTAGTTTCAGTTTTGCAAGTGATATGATGGAATATTTACCAGAATGCCCGTCACAGCTAGTGCAGGTGCTACTCCTAAAGCTATTTGATAAGTCTAGTGCACAAGAAGATTGTTAGATTAGATGATTAAATCCTACATTTACTTAAATTGCCTGACTGGTAATCTTAATTTACAGCATATATAACATGAAATTAGAAAAGAAAATTTTAATTTTGCAAGAGAAGATAATGTAAAGGTTTAGTGTGTGATGATTACCTTGAAGTAGAATGAAGCTGCTGTTGATATACAACCCAAAGTCATCCCCACCAAAGAAACCTTGAGATATACATTACATGTTATTAAAAATGGTATATATCAGTTTTTGGCTACCTAACTATAGGTTGAATCGGGTATTATTTTGTCGGGTCAAATGTGTAATATTAGAAAGATTGAGCTAAAGGGAAACAAGCAAAATGAGTAAAAAATCAGCCATATAATATATTTAGCTGCATATAACCTTTTTTGTAATAATATAGTTTTGTATAATAACAACATTTAACACATTACTTACCTATAAATGTGGTGTTGCTATAGAATATATATTGAACTTACCAGTAAGAGTGGCTTTCTACCAAGTTTGTCTACAAGGAGTGCATTAAGGGTGGTAACCACAACCTAGAAGAAGAGGACATTGTAAGTAATAAAATATCATCAAACAAGAAGAATTTCTAGATTTACCTGAAGAACAGCGTAGATTATTGTACCAGTATCAGCAGGAAATCCTAAAAATCATACAACAAACTTTACTAACGTATTACAATAAATGATTTGATGGTGTTACTAAATTACACCTAGGTGAACAAATGGGCCTAGGCCCATGAACGGCCTAAAAAGCTTGGTTTTCCAGGCCTGATGGATCCTCTTGATATGTCCTCTATTTTCATATAAAAGGCTCGGTTACAAATTCATGACCGGTTTAGATCCAATTGTAGGACTAGTTGAGGCATGACTAGTCCAGGCCCAGTTACAAATTCATGAATCATGAAATTTATTAATCTTCAAATATTTCCTGAAATGTTTTTTGTTATTATTGTTTAGCAACCTAAAATGATGCACAGAAGAATAACTGAGCTAAGGGTGAAGAAGTTCCCGAGATTTAGCAATATGATACAAATATGGGGAATCAATGGTGAAATAATTCTGGAAGTCAACAAAGAAAAAGATGGGAGCATGCAGAGAATGCAAAGAAGAAAGAGAGATATTTTTATACATGCTTTAGTGCCATTACAACCATAAAAAATCTTTAGAAAATAAAAATGGTATTTGGTAAAAAGAGGTTAGATCATAGTCATGTTACATAGCACATTTTACTTAGTGAGAATCAAGATAGTGGCCCCAGATAGCACAAACTCAAATGAGGAGATTTACGTATTTACGATGCTGATTTGTATGCATTACAACCACAAAAATTACAAGTTCATATAGATTAATACATTTACAGTTTTTTGGTTATTCGGCGGGGAAGAAAGCGGAAATAAAACAACTTAAATCTTTACTAAAAGAGTGCAAGAAGTATGAACACTTGTTGAAAAAAGTGAAAATCTATAGAAAAAATAATGGTTTCTCTCTCCTTGAAAAACTCTGTAATTAGTAAAAAAAAACAGTTCCTCTTCCTCTTCTAAAAAAACAGTTGAAGATTCTATTGGTGTAACCAAGAGAAAAACAGGATCGATTTGAAAATTATGAGAGGTCTATGTACAAACGATATCCTTGTAACGTGTTGTGCAATCATTGTTTCTCAAGATGGTAAACGCAATCAACAAGGAACCATCTAAGTTATAAATCGTTGTTAAGCCAAAAAGCAAGAACAGTTTTGATTGAACATGTGTTAGAGATGTAGAAAAAGATTTAACACTCTTTATGTAACACTATTCTTTGTAGTTGATGACATTATGAGAGGTGTAATGTATTTATAAATTAGTAAAGAGTTAAGACGTATTTTGCTAGAGTATACGAATATATGAATTTAAAATATAGGTTAACTTATAGTTATAAAAGAGAATGATGTATAACCCCTCGTTTATGACTCAATAAGTAAACATATAACCAAATTTAGGTGAATTAATCTAAAAGAAAGTTGTAGTTGACTCAAATACGAACATGTAGATATAAATATCATCAAAATCCGAGTTTGTATGAAGAAGTTATGATTATCCGAGGTTAAGAAGTAAGTATGTTGCTGGAATGAGAAAGAAACAGGGTAGATACGGGCAATGCCACAACGTGTATGCGTCGAAGTCCCATAATCATCTCCAAACTCGTTTTAATGAAGCACATTGCTTTTATGTAGGGATGTCAAAAAGTCCCGTGGGACCCCGTTTCCGTGGGGGCCCCGTCCCGTTTGGTGGATTTTTTTAAAAAAAATCGGGGGCGGGGACGGGGGTGGGGGCAAGGTTAACCCCCGTTTTAATTTCTGGGGCGGGGGCGGGAGTAGGCAATCCCGTCCCGAAATCCCCATGGGGACCCCCGTTAATAAATTACACATATATTTACATATATTAATTATATAAATATAATAAAAAATAACATGATTTTGAGCTTCCAAAATTCATCAAAAAACATGTTTTAAGTTGTTAGTATAATTTTTTAAAATGCCATAACTTTTTTATTTTTAACATATAAAATTCTGCTATAAATAATTATTTGTTACCTAAAAAATAACTTATTTTAGTCTAAATAACAACTTCTTTTAGCCCAAAAAAACGTAGCCCAAAATCAATCGGGGGCGGGGGAACGGGGGTGGGGGCGGGTGTAATAAAGGTGATTCGGGGCCGGGGCGGGGATAGGAACATTGAACATTCCGAGGACGGGGGTGGGGGCGGGGGAAACAGGGAAATTTTGAGGGCGGGGGCGGGAGATGCACTCCCCGCCCCGTTTGCCCCCGTTGACATCCCTACTTTTATGGACATTTTTAAGTGAGACACGGGCCATGTCTCAAGTTCAAAGCCCTAGGGATGTGTTTAAAATATCAACTCGGTTAGTGGTCCTCATTTCTCACACACACATATCCAAAGCTAACTAAGGGTTTTTCTGAGAATTAAAACATTGGAGAAAAAGTTTGATGCAAACGAACTTCAAGAAAACAAGAGTTAAACTTCATCTCTTGGATTAAAGGTAAGGTTCACATTCTTACTAAGCTTGGTTGCAGTTTTCATGGTAGAAATTGATGGGTTATGTAACCCTTGATCGTATATGCCTCCATGAAAAAAAAAAAAAAAAAAAAAAAAAAAAAACTCGATAATGATGTTGTTTGGTGAAATGATGAACAAAGTGAAATTAATCTCATGTCTTGATGAATTAAGACATATGGCAAGGTATTCATGGATCATATTTATTTTTAATCATGAAATTAATTAGCTTCATAAACATGGTGGAGGTATTTGTTTAAGTTCATGCATTAACTAGATACCTTAGGCTATGATTCTTAAGTGATGTTATTTTCATAACATCTATAGTAAAAACAAATATGGGCCTTAAGAACTAGAGTTTCAAGCATATATGTCATCTTAAGGTGAGTAATCTCATACATCTCCAATGAGGGGTAAATCTTATGCTAGCATGATATGTAAAAATACTCAAATTATATGAGCTGGGAATGGTTGAAAAGTAGTGACTGAGTATAACTGAACAATTATAGCTGAATTTAAGTGACAACTATTTATAGTAGAAAAGCAATGATTAAGTATAATTAAACAACTATAACTGAATATAACTTATATAACTAATAACAGCTTAAAGGTTATAACTGACAAAGTTGAATATTTGATGTTGAAACTAAAGAGTGGAATATAACCTTGTTTAAATATTGTATATTGTGATTGTTGTTGTTATGTTTATGCTGATTAGATTACTAACTAAGCTTGTAAAGCTTACCCTATATTATGTTCTTTTTTTTTCCAATCACAATCAAGCTTTCGCAACTTTTAGAGATAATGCAAAGTTAGAATTGTTAAAAGTGACCAAGACTTGGTTTGTGTCTTATTACTTTTTGTTGCAAAGGTTAATGAATTGTAAGGATGCTTTTGCTACAACCATCTCCCTTAATAGGAAGATGTAAACTAAGAGAACCAAATTTTTTATTATTGAAACCATTAGGAGTGAATTTTTTTGGGACGATTCTGAAAGTATTCTAGTTATAACAAAACCTATTTTCTTGTTGACCAAGAAGAAGAACGGGTATTGTGAGAGCAATTCACAATATTCCACATGAAAAAAATGGCTTCATTTTATTGTAGCAACTCCAATGGATGAAGTGACCATGGAGGAAATCAGTAGGTGGACAACAAAAACTCCAAAACTAGATGAAATCAAATAAAAAAGAATACTATCATAACTACTAACAATTCATTGATTGAAAAAAATTTGGAGCACTTACTCATATATTCACAGTGTGAAGAGATTTCGTTTGAATTGTAAAAGAGCTTACAAATTGGTATCCATTCATTCATACATTTGTCTTCTATCATGATTTTTGAAAGTTACCAAGATATGGGAAAATTTAGATGAAGATGATGTTGATGCGAAATGAAAAAGGAAAAGTAGAGGACTGAGTAATTTAATATTTTAACTGTACTATTTTTTGTATAAAACTAATGTAATATAGGTTTTGTCATAATTATAATACTTTTAACATCTTCCTAAAAAATTTTGCTCCTAATGGTTTGAACAACCTACAAGCTAGTTCTCGTAGTGTTTTTATCCCCTTGTTTTACCAGATCCCTCTAAGTATAAGGACAATGGTTGTAGCAAGAGTCTCTCTATAATCCATTAACCTTTTCAATAAAATGCAATCAGACACAAACATAGTGTTGGCCACTTTTAAAATCTCTTAACTTTGAATTATTTGTAAACATGATTGTGATTAAAAAATAACTAGCAAACACTTTCCATCTCCTATACATTTTTATCAACCATAAAAATCATTTGCAAGGTTTTTAAAAATCAGTTTCATGGTTTGGACACAACAAAGAGACGAAATATATATGTTAAAAAAAATACAAATTTTGAGATTCAACTTCAGCCTCATATTTCTCATTTGCCGCTCTAATGCTCCAGTGTACCGGCAACCACCAGGTATGCCTAATCATAAGTAATTATATGCCAGAAAGGTATAATCATATATGAGTCTACCTGTTTATATGTATATGTCTAACCATAAATGATTATCCATATGTGTCTGTTCACAGATTGAGTAATCATATATGATTATAATAGTTGGTGTCAAAAGAGGTGGTGGTGGCATAAGTGTTGGAGGTGGCAAGGTGGGGTCGGCTGGTTGCAGAGGTGGTGGTAGTGGTGGTTGCGGTGGTGGTTGTGGTGGTGTGGAAGGTGGCAGAGGTGAAAGGAATGGTCTGTGCTACATAATCATTTATGATTATAACTGACCCGCTGCGCCGGTACACCGGAGGTTTAGAGCGACATATATGAATTATATGGCTGAGGTTAAATCTTAAGTTCTTTTGCAACTTGTTGAATTGTTGGTCTTAACTTAAAGAACATTGTTTGGTCCTACCAATTCAATAGCTCCAAAAATTTGCTACTATTCATATTTTATCTAAACCCAAAAAACACTCTACATACATAAACATAGACCCACGACTATTCACAACAACAATGACTAATCAATGGATTGTGCTTGACGTTTGGCCACCCATCATATACAATGGAAACACCTAGTGAATAATGTATATCTTTACGAGTGTTAAATCTTTTTTCTATATCTCTGACTCGTTCTTAAATCAAAACTTTTCTCACTTTTTTTCGCTTGATAGGGGTTTATAACCTAAATGGTTCTTTGTTGATTGCGTTTACCATCTCATGAAACTAAGGATTGTGCAACACGCTAAAAGGGATACCGCTTGCACATAGACCTCTCATAATTTTCAAATCGACAATGTTTCTCATTCTTACACCAAAAGAGTCTTCAAATATGTTTTTTAGAAGAGGAACTCTAGTTTTCTACTAATTACAAAAAAATTTAAAAAGCAACAAGCGCCTTATTTTTTTTTTTTTTTTACAAATTTCACTTTTTTCAACAATCGTTCATACTTCTCCCATCTTTTCTCGCATCTTTTAATAAAGCGTACTTCTCGCAATCTTTTAATAAATTGGTACACCTTTTTATTTTTGTTTTCTTCCCCACCGAATTACCAAATAATGTACATGTGTTCTTGTGTATGAACTTGTAATTTTTCCTCCCTTTTTCTTTCATTATAAACCCAAGCCACTTTTGGGTATTAATCTTGGATTACATCATACATATATAGCTCCTTAAATGAGGAATTTTCAGTTCTACCAAACAACATGTCTACTTGTAAGCACATGATGACACTTGGCCATCTAACATTCCTAGTGCTCCTTACGTAGTGATGTTCGCATCACATGTGTGTGTATATATATATATATATTAAAAGAACTTAGTTAAATTCATGTTGAAGATATAGATATTGAAAGTACCTGAAGATGCGAAAATACTGCTTGCGTAAAAACAAATTCCGTTTATTCCTCCAAATTGTTGAGAGATCATTAGCCCAACTCCTATCTAGAAGTGGATAAAACAAGGTTAACATTAAACCTTGTCATGTTAGATGTCTAAAAGATCTCGTAACCATAACATAAACTTACAATAACAGAACTTAAGTATCTGCTCTGAAACAAATCAATTAGTCTGGCTTTTGGGAGCCTTTCCAATGTTTCTATATATTCCTGTGAAATATTACAACATTTTGTTAATTGATACCCTTCTCAATGCTCATAATTTTGTGAAAAAAGTAAAGGTTTGAAATACAAACCCTGATTTCAGCTGCCTCTTCAGATACATCAATTTCCTCCCCACGAAGTTTCCTTAACGCAGCATCAAATTCCCTTTGTTTTCCTATCTTAGCCTGAATGCAATATACATATCAACATTCCTTAAATCTTCACCTTTATAATAATAATACTGTCTTTTTTTCACTTAAACATTACCAGATATCTAGGCGATTCTGGTATAATAAAGAGGCCCAATAGCAAAACACCACATGGAATCAATCCTGCAACCAAATCACTGTGATTCACATTTCATCGCCTGTTAGTAAGGTTTAGGTAGATGATGTTGCTTTTTGTTCCTTTTTCGCCTTTTGTTTTAAAAGGATGTGATATTCTTTAGCTCTTGTTGACATAACTATATTAAGTCTTATGTATTAATTTCATTGGTGGAAAAATCTTGATTGAAAGAAAGAAAGGAAGTACATAATGATTTCCAGAAACCTGCCAAAGCCATGGTTCGCCAATGAAGGATTGTTCCTACTACAAAGGAAACTGACACTCCAGTAACAATTAAGAGCTGCAAAGCAATTGGAAACACTTCAAATAATTAAATTTTGCATGTTGAATTATAAATAGTTAAATACTAAAATGGGATTTTGCATTGACAACCTGATTTGCTGCTGTTAACAAGCCTCGTAATTGTTTGGGTGCTATTTCAGCTATGAACACAGGTACCTTACAATATTAAAGATTTAAAGATGTTCATTATCTTATGCAAACAAATAGTTATAATTAGTCATATAAGTTAAATAATTTCAGGCGGAGTGATGTACCTACCACATAGGAAAAGACTCCCATTCCAAATCCGTTTGCTAGTCTTCCAATATCCAAAGGCATAGGGCCCTTTCCATCATAATATAAAAAATTATTTCGTCATTCTGTTTTATAGATTTATGACTTCTTTGAGTAAAAATGGTGACTACCTGAGCAAAATAAATGGCTAGCCACCCTCCTATGCAGAAAGCACTTGATATTCTCAATGCCTGTTCAGTAGTTAATTAGAAGATATATTTTTTTGATTTTGTAAAAAGATGGAAAGGTAATTTAAATGAGAATGGTTAACTTAATTACCCCTTTGCGACCGAATAAATCAGCCATGGGCCCACTTGCAATGGCACCGATCATTGCACCAAATGTCAATATTGACCCAAATAAAGAATACTACAAAGATAATAAAAATAGGTAAATTAACTTTATATATTTCAAAATGCACTTGGGCTAAATGCTAATAAAAACTAACCTGTGCCATTGTTAGATTTAGATCTCTCCTGATGCCAGCCTCTGTAGGGGATGAATAGCCAACCTGAAGAGTAAAAGTCAATCAAATCATAATTGGCACCAACAAGATATTCACATGTGAGATATTGATATGAAATCCAACATGGTTTTAGATTTCTAAGTTTGGAGAAGATAAATTAAACAACTAACCGAATGTAGCACTTACACCTGTTCCAAATGCATACGAACCACACACTGCAACAAATGTGCTGAGGTAAACCATGAAATTATTCTCCTTTCTTTCATCTTGAAATACAAGTGGAGCTCTAAACCCATCTTGACCTCTATCTCTTCTCTCTATATCTTTTTTATTAGCCATGATTATTTGTACCTCTTTCACTACAAATAGTATATGTAAAGCTCCAATGAGTATTATGTCTCGTAAGATTCCAAAAATTGCTTATGAAGATGTGTAGATCAACTGTTGAAAGTGAACAAAAAAATCAGATTTAATTTGCATTAAAATTGCAACGATTCAATACATGCAAGTAGGGATGGTATTTGGGTCGGAACCGAACCCGAATAAACTGAAAACTGAATAAGGGTAATTGTATGAACCAAAAACCGAACCAAATAAGCAATACGGGTTTGGTTCGGTTTGGTTCTGTTCCGGCTCGAATAACCGAAATAACATGTACAAGATGATTAAGGAGTCAAATAACCCGAATAACTCAAATAACATTTACAATGTGATTATAAATATTGTATTTTGTATGACGTTTGTAGCTTATGATAAACATGAATAACACGGAATAACTATTCTTGATATATATAAAATGTAAAATCCAACAACCACAATCTTAAGATATAGTTATTAAGCAACATATTAAACATCCAAAATACCCAAAAATCTATCTATAAGTATATAAGTTAAACATTAAATATTATGTGAGTATTTTGGGTAACGATTGATAGAACATAAGACTGAATAAGCAATCATGCAAGGGGGAAAATGTGACTTTTCATATTCGGTTCGGTCCTTTTGGACTGAATAAGACCTTATTCGGTAACCCGGACCGAATAACACAAAACCGAATAAGCCTTATATAGATACCCAAAAACTGAATCGAATTGCTTATTCGGGTCTAATTCTATTCGGTTCGGTACGGTTCGGGTTTTCGAGCCAAATTTTCATCCCTACATGCAAGTTTACTTCATGTGTCTTGACTATGAGTAAAAAAGGTCTAAAATACCATTCAACATGACATCATCTGAGAATCACAGGAACCAAAATCATTATCATCAACATTGTAACTTGACACTCGACATCCCATGATGAAAATTCCGGTTTCTTAGTTCCAAAGGAACATCAATAATTGTTAATTATATACGACACATTTTCTTCATGTTTGATAAACAGAAACGTATTTCTCTTATTAACCACATAGTCTAAAAAGCTTCTTTCTATTCTTCAACTTCAACACACTGGTCTCTATAACTATCAAATCTAGGTGTGTGTGTGTGTGTATATATATATATATATATATATAGAGAGAGAGAGAGAGAGAGAGATCTGATAAGAAATTTTTTTTGGTAGGAAGTTAAGAAGTTTTTTTTCTACATATTTTTTTGACGAACAAAAAAAATGAATCACTAAATTATTCATTTGTAAGATGATTCACAAGAAAAAATTCTCAAAAAAACATCTATATGATTCATTTTTAAATAAATTAAGAAAAAATCCACTTTTATAACAATTTTAGTGAATAACAACAAAATCATTATATAAATGAATCATCGAGATGTTTTTTTTTAGAATTTTTTCTTGTGAATCATCTTTCAAATGAATCATCTAATGATTCATTTTGTTTGTTCACGAAAAAAATATGTAGAAAAAAAATTTCTTATCATCCTACCAAAACTTTCCTTCTTATTTGATCTTGACTATATATATATATATATATATATATATATATATATATATATATATATATATATATATATATATATATATCCGGTAAGAAATTTTTTTTGGTAGAAGGTAAGAAGTTTTTTATTTACATATTTTTTTGGACAAACAAAATAAATGAATCACTAGATGATTCATTTGTAAGATGATTCACAAGAAAAATTCCCAAAAAAACATTTTTATGATTCATTTTTAAGTAAATTAAGAAAAAATTCATTTTTATGATAATTTTAGTGAATAACAACAAAATCATTGTATAAATGAATCATCGAATTGTTTTTTTCAGAATTTTTTTCTTGTGAATCATCTTACAAATGAATCATCTAATGATTCATTTTGTTTGTTCGCGAAAAAAATATGTAGAAAAAAAAACTTCTTACCTTCCTACCAAAAATTTCCTTTTTATTTGATCGTGACTATATATATATATATATATATATATATATATATATATATATATATATATATATATATATATATATATACATATATATATATATATATATATATATATATAGAGAGAGAGAGAGAGAGAGAGAGAGAGAGAGAGAGAGAGAGATGTAAAGGGTAGGTTTTGCCTTCCTGATTAGGGTCTTTCAATGTCTGCAATCATGTGGTTAATTTTACCGACTTTTGGCTAATTAAATTGGCTATGGAAATGATTCAATACTCAATAGAGATCCGTTCAACTGAGAAATCTTCGTATCTCAAACAATTTGAATTCTAAACGTATGAACAAAAGAGAGATCGGAATAAAGCCAATCAAAAACTGCTTGTTTTGCATAATGTGCTAGGTGGCTAAGTGCTAACCCGATTATCGACGATTGAAATTACCTAATGTAGCTACCAGCTATTACGCAGAGATTTGTTCAAACTCCTTTGAACTTCCAAATCTTCATATCTTAAACTTCGCATTATAGACGCATGATTACATGAATAATAGAGACATCATAATAAACCTAATGATCAACGACCGTTTGTTTTGCATGATATGATCATATGATTCGACTGTAAGTCGTAAACATGAAACTAATCACAATGGGAAGGATGTAGTGCACATGTTCTTCCGATTTGGACGTACCTGCGTTCGCCTCCGGCGAGATTTGAACCGAACTCCTTAGGGACCGTAGCTACTTCCTTTCGCAGCTATTATGTTGAGATTGGAACACCATGTAATGGCGAATTTGAAGTTGGCAGAAATTATCGGATCAATGGATCGTAGATCCGAGTGTTACGAGTCTATGTTGGAAGAGTTTACATAGGACAATGGTAGTAGTACCAGAAGAATCGGAGTACGTAGACCGTCTATTGAAGGAATGAGGAGGAAGACGATGTTTGGGCAAAATTGTCCCTGTGCTTTAGCCAGAATTACACATTTGGTCCCTAACTGAATTTCTAAAAATTTCAGAGACGCAATATGGGTTTATTGGCTGGGTTGATGAAGAGATGTCTGATTGTGCAAAGAACTATCATCCCTGGTTACATGTTTAGGATCAATTAAAAATGTCAATCTGAACCCAACCAAACACCACCCATTGCCAATAACGGTTATTTTAATAAATTTATAGCAGTTGAGGTCATAAATTCAAAAAAAAAAAAAAAAAAACAGTTTTTCCTTTTACAATTTAAATAAGTTATTCTTGTATTTAATGGATTTTACAAGAAACAATCATAATATAACTAATTTTAAGAAATTATAAGAAAATACCTCATTTGACATCAAATCAATCACCTATAATTCTCAAAATAAAATTCCAAGCACTTAAAAAAGGTCGATCTGAACAAACAAACCGGAATTACAACTTAATGTTGATTGGTACAAGGATCCAAATACACAATAATACAAAAGGGAAATTACAGCAGTTATAAATAAAGTGGAACTAGAATACAATGAATATGAACAGAATGAAACTGAAATGCATGAAGATGGGATTTAAACAATGGTATATTTATTTATTGCTACAAGTTGTCTGGGATTTGAAGAATGGTGTCTTAATTATTAATGGCAGCTTGTATCTGCTCCAAAGTTCTTCCTTTTGTTTCAGGTACCATAATAATTATAAACACAATACCAGCTAAGTTTATCGCTGCATATACCAAGAAAGTGCCTGTAACAACATATATACAACATGTTAATCTTATTATATATGTTAAATGCAAGAAATAGCAACCTACTTCCATTATACTTTGAAAATCCACCAAATTTTAGCAATGTTATTATACAAAGAAACAAAAGTATGTTGCTATTTCTTTCAATTTCCCCATTTTGTTATGCTAATTTAAATGTTAAAATTACCATATGAACTCCAGCTCAAGAGAAAATTGAAAGTGAATGATACTGCCCACGCGCCAAACCAGTTTGTTAGTGTTGCTAGGCTTCCAGCAGCACCCTTGATGTTAATAGGAAATATCTACATAAAACATATTTGTGTGTTTAATTATATTTATGGTCATTTGTGAATTTAAAAATAATGAAAAAATTTGTATTCATGTCAATATATGTACATACCTCAGACATTATAATCCATGGAACCGCTCCCATTCCTGCTGAAAATGATGCTATGTACAACTGCATTCAAGAAAAAAATTTCAAAACTCATTTATTTACTTTTATTGATAACTAATTAAAGGTTTGCAAATGATGTATATTTACCAGTATGCCCGTTACAGCTAGTGCAGGTGCTGCTGCTAGTCCTATTTCATAAGTCTGGTGCACGTAATAATTATTAATTAGATAAAAAAAAAAAAAAAATCATTACTAGAAGGAATATTAAAAAAATCTTTAACACTACGTGTCAAGTCAAATGTTAATATATCTGATGAATACCTTAAAGTAGAACGAAAGTGCTGCTAGTAAACAACCCATAACCAAACCGGCGCCTGAAACCTTGAAAAACATTTTTATTTAAAATGAAGGTTTTTAATGGATTGTGTGGTAAAAAATATTAAAGTTTACCAGTAATAGTGGCTTTCTACCGGCTTTGTCAACAAAGAGTGCATTTAAGGCAGTAATTATGACCTGATAAAAATATATGAAAGAAGATAAGTAGCACTTCATAACTAGTAATTCATCTAGAATGATAATTCTATTTTCAAATCTTTTAATAACCTGAAGGATCGCGTAGATTATTGTTCCAATATCAGCAGGAAATCCTGAAAAGATCATGCAAAAATATTAACAAAGATGCTCCGTAGGCCCCAGACAGAACAGAATAGGTTATACTGTCTTTGGTATGCATTGGACTGAGGCTGATACTGATGTGAATGGGGCAAAAGTACCACCCAAAAAGATGGAACAAGGACTTGCTTTTGATCTCTTGTCTGTGCAAAAGACATGAATGCCCTCCTTGTCCTCATCATTAGCTTATCGAGTTTAGTGTAACAAATGTAGCCATAGGGTTTTTATGGAATTGGAAGCATCAATGATTGTGAATCCAGAATGTATACCTGCAGACTCAAATATACTACTTGTGTAAAAGCATATTCCGTTGATTCCTCCAAATTGTTGACACACCATTAGTCCAACCCCAATCTTCTCAATAAATATGGTCAAAACAAGATTCAGACTACAGTTATAAAAATCTTTTTTTTTTTTTTTTTTTTAAAAGTAGCCAACAAGAGTTGTCAAGAAAATAAACTTACAGTGACAGATCGCAAATATCTTCTCTGAAACAAATCAAATATTTTGGCCTTCGGAAGCTTTTGCAGTGTTTCTATATAATCCTATCAACATATTCAACACACCATTGATACCACATATATAAAAGAATTCTATAATTTTTATTCGTAAAAAAAAAAAAAAAAAAAAAAAAAAAAAAAAGAGTTGGGAGCTTTGAAATGTACACCTGGATTTCATCCGCCTCCTGAGATATATCAGCATCCTTCCCTCTAAGTTTTCTTAAGGCAGCATCAAACTCTTTTTTTCTTCCTATCTTTGCCTGCATGCATGATGTGAAACATAATTTGTTGAAGATAAATTAAACAGCTTCATGAATCATGATACTTCACATACCAGCCATCTAGGAGATTCTGGTACAAAGAAAAGCCCCACTAATAGAACAGCACAAGGGATTAATCCTGCAAACAGAACACTAGAATTCATCACCCTTTATTTTCTTTATCCATATATAAGAATGCCACTGGTAGTAAATAAACATAATTTAGACCCATTTAAAACCTGTCAATGCCAAGGTCCTCCATGTTAGCACTGTTCCAATTATAAAGGCAACTGACACTCCTGTACAGATCATGAGCTGCAGAGTAGGTAGGAACAGTTTAGAGGTATTTCAACTTTCATTATGCTAATAACATATGAGATCTATATAATATTATAATATAAAGTGGTTGGCAATGGCAACCTGATTTGCTGCTGTTAATGCCCCTCTTAAATTTTTGGGTGCGATTTCAGCTATGAACACAGGTACCTTACAACACAGAAACATACTATGTAAAAGAGAAAGAATTATTATATAAATTCAAATAATTGGCACTCAAATGTTGGGAAAACTAACATACCACATAGGAAAACACTCCCATTCCAAATCCTGTTGCTAGCCTTCCAATGTCTAGAGCCAGAGGACCCTTTCATAATTTAAAAAAAAAAAAAAAAAAAAATGTAAAATTGGAGTATTGTTCAATAAACTCGATGAATAAAAGTTTATGTACCTGAGCAAAGTAAATAGCTAGCCACCCGGCTGTACAGAAAACAGTTGATATTCTCAGTGCCTGTTCCCATTGTCAAAGTGAAGCATTTGGTTGTTTGAAGTTTTCTCTAAAAGATGATGATTGATAATGTGCAAACTCTCTTTTACTTACCCCTTTGCGACCAAAGCAATCGGCCATGGGCCCACTCGCGATTGCACCAATCATTGCACCAAATGTCAAGATTGAGCCAAACAATGAATACTACAAAGAAACAAGATAAAGGTTTATATATTATACTTTGGGTTGATATGTTGTAGAATTTATGTGACTAACCTCTGCTAGTGACAAATTGAGATCTTCCCTGATTGCAGACTGAGTAGGAGAGGAATAACCTGCCTGGATGTTTCTTAATGTTATAGCTTGCACATGTTTAGCATCAATAAGATTGCTATAACTTGAACATGTTTCTTAACGTTATAGGTTCGAAGAAGGTGATATGAAGTATGAAATGAGCACTTACACATGATCCAAATGCAAAAGAACCACAAACTGCAACAAAAGTGCTTAGGTAAACCATGAAATTGTTCTCCTTGTGTTTCTCATCTTGGAGCACCAATGGAGCTCTGATCTCATCTTGAACTGTGCTTTCCGTTTCCTCCATATCCTTTTCAATGGCCATAAGTATAGAATCTATAATTTATCATATAAAAATTAAATTATATCTCAAGGAACTCATAACTAAAAAGAGCTCTTGAGATCCATTATTCCTCGGGAGCTTCCTTTTTGCAAGCAATTTACTCAAACAATTCCAGTTGTCCTGATTAGGTAGGGTTGGCCTCATTGTTAGGCGCACATCCATGTCAAACCATAAAAAGCAGCAAAATTATACACTTCACCATTGATTTTCATCCGTTTTGGTTGAACTACTAATCATGATCAAATCTCAATTTTCAGGCGAGAGATATGAAGAAAGTTAAATCGTGATCAAATGTGAAATCAAAACATGTTGAACTTGAAATCATTCATACAGAAGATACAAACACGAAAAAACAGCAGAATAATCCGTAGTCAACATACCTCCGTTTGCCTATCGAAATCAGAATCCTTATGGCTCGTATCAGCAGGAAGGAAGCAACGGCAGGAGAAGCAAGAAACGTTCGGGACTACGTAGCCAGTGTTTGTGGAATTGTGACAGAAATGATGAGTCGACTGACGTTTTCTTTGACAACTTGTATACGATATTTTTGTACATGTTAAGAAAGTCACATCAGTAGTAGCCTAGTAGGAGTGTAGGACCTGACAGCATTTAATATTTGGAATATATGATTTTTTTTTATAAGATACAATTGTATATTAATTTTAAGAATTAGTTGTGACTTGTAACTTAAATGAAGAATTCAAGAATTCAATACCCCTTTGAGATCAACTTCACAACAACTATAACCAAGGGTTAAAGATAAAGATTATTGCATCAATTCATTTCAAGATTATAACTTTTTCGTGAATTTACAACTAAAAACTTGTTCGTAACTATAATTCTTCAAGTATTTACTCTACTTTAGTATTCTTCAATCCACTTGCTCACTTCCACGGCTCTTTCTCCTGTAAACACACTTTTATTTTGACTCCCTTTGAAAGTCAAACCACACTTTTTAGACCATCTCCATTTTTATACTCCAAGACAGAGTAAAAATGAAGACTTTCAAACTTCATTCCATTATCTTATTTTATTTTTATTCCAAAAAAGATGTTTTTAGTTTATTTTTATTTTTAAACTTAGAGTAAATTACTGAAATTGTCCCTGTGGTTTGGTCAAAATTGCACGTTTGGTCCCTAATTTTTTTTTTTTGCACTCGGATCGTCCTTGTGGTTTGATTTTGTTGCGTTTTCGTCCCTATGGTTTGGTAAAAATTGCATGTTTGGTCCCTAACTTTATGTATGTAAGGGATGAAAAATGCAACAAAATCAAACCACAGGGACGAAAAACGCAACAAAATCAAACCACATGAACGATCCAAGTGCAAAAAAAAAGTTAGGGACCAAAAGTGCAATTTTAACCAAACCATAGAAACGACTTCAATAACTTACTCTTAAACTTACAAAGATTATAATAGACTTTCAACTTACTAGTTTTTTACACATTTATAAACCTAGACATTTGTAAACCTAGGATGTGAGGAGTAAAGTTAACAAATGAAAGTTCTAACTTCATTTAATTAAAAAATAATATCTAACTCCGTTATTTAGAGTATTACTATCTATTTACTCCAAGATAGAGTTGGAGATGAGTGGAGTTTGGATCTATAATAGAATAAAAAAGAATAAATTATTGAAATCGTCCCTATGGTTTGGTCAAAATTATACGTTTGACCCCTAACTTTTCTTTTGCACTCGGATCGTCCATATGGTTTGATTTTGTTGCGTTTTACGTCCCTTGCATGCATAAAGTTAGGGACCAAATGTGCAATTTTGACCAAATCACAGGGACGAAAAACGCAACAAAATCAAACCATAGAGACGATCCGAGTGCAAAATAAAAGTTAATGACCAAACGTGCAATTTTAATCAAACCGTAGAGACGATTTTAGTAATTTACTCAATAAAAATGGATTTTATAGTAGATTTGGAGATGTTTTAAGGCATGTGCGGCAATGACGTTTTGAGGGCTAAGAAAAAAAAATTAATTAAACAAAAACTTTTTTCTAATTATTTATTTTAAACAAAAAAATGTTCAAATCCAAAAGACCAAAACCATTTTAAATAACTTTTGAAAGCTTCTAGTATTTATATTTTATATTATTTTACATATCTCAAAAGCTTACAACTATTTTTTCCTAACATTTTCACACAAATAAAAGATACAACTTCAAGCTTTTAACTACCAACTTCCGCCTACCAGCTAGTTTTGTCAAACATACTCTTAGGATGTGTTTTGCAAAACTTGATAGAATCTGGAATATATAGCTTAATATTTGTGTAGAAGTGTTCAAAAGAATAATTGTAATCTTTTGAAATATGTAAATGATATAAAACATAGAAGTTAAAGCATAAAAGCTCCTAAGATATCAATGTGTAAGAACATGAAATTTAGAGAGTTCGCTTTTAGTCAACTATTGAGCAAAAGGGTAAAATGGTCATTAATAAGAGTTTAACAAGGTTTTGAAAACCAGACCGTAGACCGAATCGGCAGTCTTACTGCTTTGATGGTTCAATTGGTCCAACCAGTTAGACCAGTCTCAAAAAAAGGAAAAACCATATGATTTCATAATTACGTTATTATTAATTTTAACTATACGAAGATTTTAAAAAAACGAAAAATTTAAAATTTAAAATTTAAAATTCTCGATTTTTCTGGTTTTGTCAGTTTAATCGGACCTATTTTACCGGTTCAACTAGTTTTTACTGGTTCACATAACGAACGGTTTTTTGGCCTCTAAGAACTGGTTACGGGACCAATTCCCGGTTGGACCGGTATGTCTAGTCCGGTTTTTAAAACATGAGAGTTTAGTAAGTTTATAAAGTTGTGAATTTATGAAAATGGTCAAGATAAGTTTAAGTCACTAAGATGAAGTTAGATGAATAAGTTCAAGAGAAAGAATGCATTAGAAAAATGTATTTTGGCTAAAAGAGTCAAATGAGTATTGTAACGACGTAAATTTTGAAACCAATTTTTCATTTTTGTAAACATCAAAAACATCGATTAATATTCATAAATGCTTAGTGAGTTCCCCAAAATACAAATTACGCACATACGCCTTTCCAGGCCATGACCTTCCGGTCCATGTGTCTCAGGGGACTTCCGTCCCGACTAGGTAAACCTTCCGGTCCTACCCACGTCAACCTTACGGTCCACATCACAACGCCTTCCGACCCATAACATATTCGCCTTCCGCCCCATAACATAATGCCTTCCGGCCCATATTAAGCATATCATACATGGCACATATAAACGATTAACTTATCACACACAGTACATATATCTCAAAACATATCCGACCTTCCGGTCACACAGTCAAACCCTTCCGAGTACAGTATAGTGAGAAAACTCACCTCGTGGAAAGTCTAATATCTCGCGTCCTCGTTATCACCGAATCCCAATGATGACTCTACCTCGCCTAAACATAAAAATATCATTTAATACTCAAAGACTTCCACCACTAAAACTTTACCCCCTTATCATCATTCCTCAGAGGGTAAAAGACCATTTTACCCTTCCTTGACCTAAAGTCCTCATGTTGACCAAAACCCTAAAAGTCAACAAAAGTCAACCCTGAGAGTACGCGGGGCGTACATCGCCAATCCCCTGGATCGGGGTCTCCACCCAGTACGCTGCGCGTACTGGAAGTTACGCCCAACGTAACCATCAGAATCCAACACTCTTCATTTCTGGTCTTAATCGATTAAGCCATTACTCTAACTTCTAGATCCGACTCTTTTAGTGTGTCTAAACCCATAAAGTCGAGACCTTTAAGCCTTGGCATGGCTGTAAAGGCTCCAACATCTCATAACAACATTCTATTCCAACTCAAGGACCTAGATCTCATGCATGGTGCAGTATCCACATCCAAGATGCCATTTTTATGAGTCTACAACTCCAATAGATCAGAAATATGAAGTATCTAAGCTTATGGAGGCCATTTGCACAAAAAGTCTCCACCTTTGGGACTTAAACCCTAGAAAATGATACCTTAAGCATATAACATGAACCAAGTGACAAGATCCGAAATTTTTACCTGATAATGAAGCTTTAACCCTTGCAAAGCTCAGATATACACTTGAGCACCACTTCTAGCCTTTCCAATGAGCTCTTCTTCTCCTTTGCAACCTTGGAATGGCACCACCAAGCTTATAATACACACAAAGGCTAAAGAACGAATGCACACACTTTTTAGGGTTTCACTATGAGGGATGGTGGCTGAGAAGTCCAGCCACACATTCCTTTTATAGCCCTCCAAAGGAAATTAGGGTTTTAGATCTGGATAAGTTACGCTACGCGTAACCTTGGGTACGCCCCGCGTACCTTAGGGTGAACGCGTCCAAAATGAAGCACGCGAGTACGCGCGGCGTACGCCTTGTATGCCCAGCGTACTCACCTAACATGAAACCCTAAATTAATAACATAACCCAAAATAGAAGAATACCTGGATTCGGGCTGTTACAATTCCCCTCCCCCCCCCCCCCACTAGAACCAAACTTCGCCCTCGAAGTCTCATACTGAAAATAACTCTGGATACTGATCCCGCATCTCAGACTCGGACTCCCATGTCAGCTCGGACCCCTTCCGATGTTGCCACTGCACTTGTACCTGGGGTACTTCCTTGTTCCTCAGAACCTTAACCTTCCGATCCCGAATCGCTACTGGTCTCTCCACATAGTTCAGGCTTGCATCCACCTGAATATCATCTAATGGCACCACTGTCGAATCGTTGGCAATACATTTCCTCAACTACGAGACATGAAAGGTATCATGGATCTGCCCCAACTCAGCAGGTAGATCCAACCGGTAGGCTACCCTGCCTACCCTAGCAATTACCCTGAAGGGTCCAATATTACTCCTTTCCAAGGAGAGACCTTTAGGAGCACAAGGTCACCAACCTGAAACTCGAGCTCGGACCGACGCCTGTCCGCATAACTCTTCTGGCGACTCTGCGCGGTCAACAATCTCTGCCTGATCTGTTGAATCTGCTCGGTCGTCTGGAGTACAATCTCCATGCTACCCATCACCCGTTGCCCTACCTCTCCCCAGCAAATGGGGGTGCGACACCTCCGTCCATACAAAGGGTGGTATACCAATGCTCGAATGATGGCTGTTGTTGTATGAAAACTCTGCTAAAGGTAGATAGGAGTCCCAGCTCCCTCCAAAATCCAAAACACATGCTCGGAGCATATCCTCAAGTGTCTGAATCGTCCGTACGCTCTGTCCGTCCGTCTGCGGGTGGTATGCGGTACTGAAATACAGTCTCGTGCCCAACTCCTCATGAAACTTCTTCCAAAACCTGGAAGTAAAACGCACATCCCGATCTGAAACAATCGACATCGGAACCCCATGCCGCGATACCACCTCCCTCACGTATAATTCCGCCAACTTCTCCGCAGAAGAACTCTCGCTGATGGCTAGAAAATGAGGGCTCTTCGTCAATCTATCCACGATCACCCAAATCGCATCGACTCCCCTCGCAGTCCGCGGCAATTTGGTGATAAAATCCATGGTAATCTGTTCCCATTTCCATTCGGGAATCTCTAGCGGCTGCA